TGGGACAATCTGAAAAATAACAAAACTGTGATAGTTTGAAATACATCATATATCAAATACATAAAATTCACTAAATCTTAATGACATTAAAAACAACAACAACTCATGGGCCACTTTAAGATGAAGGCTAGAAAACTAAGTCAGTATTCTGAAAATTGATTAAAAAGACAGAATCAAAACATTGATCCTGCCTTTCCTGTACAAACTGTACAAGAAAAATAGTTAATACAGAAAATTTCTTCTTTGCAGAAGAATTCTAGCTAATAAATACAGGAAAGAGAATTGGAAAACTGAAATGTTACTACCCTTAATGAAACAGCAGATACAAACAATGATCAGTAATGGCTGCTAAATCCTTAGCTAAAGGTTCAATGGGATCTTTATTGTGAAAGGCTGATAATACCTGAAGCCACTAGTCAATCTTAACATGATAACTGGAAAAAAAAAATCAGATATTATCTGCTTCCTGATGTGTTCAATAACAACTATACAGCAACAACTATGAAGTACTGTTGCAAGAAGAAAAAAACAAAAATTGAACCTGAATCATCAAGCCTCTAGATCTGTGCTTTCTAATATGGTAACCACAAGTACTTATTTAAATTTAAATTAATTAAAAAATGTTTTTCCATTATACTATTTAGAAACTAAAATTCAGTGCCCAGTAATCACATGTGACTAGTGAGTGCTGCACTGCACAGCACAGATATAGATCATTTTTATCACCACAAAAATTCTATTGAGCAGTGCTGATGAAATGGCCAGTTCACAAGAAACACTGTGAATAAAGGAACATATTAAGATATCACAGTAGTGCAATTACGCTCTGGAATTCTCTAGAATGTGGGAAACTGTATAGTACAAATGAACCAAATTCTTCAATAAATGACAAGAGATAAAAAAGATAAGGGACATAGTACACAGAAATAGTTCACAAGGTTTGAACTATTACCTTTGGTTGGCTTATGGGATTTATCAACCAAATGCAATAGTTCAAACCTTGTGTGGATGTTAACTTTCAAACCAATAGTAAAAACAAATACAGGAGATAATCAGGGAAATTTGAATACTTACCAGATATTTGATATTAAAGAAATTATTAATGTTTTAGGTGTGATGTCAGTATTTTGCTTATGTTAATAAAGGATTTAATCTTTTAGAAACACATACTAAAGTATTTTACAGAGAAAGTAATAAGTCTGAAGTTTATTGTAATTTGGGGCTGAGGGTGCAGATAGAGGTAGAGATGAAAGATTTCCATATGGATTTTTGTTGAAGCTGGGTAATGGGTGCATAAAGGCTCATTATGTTCGTCTCTCTACTTCTGTTTAGGTTTAAAATTTTATAAAAAGCAAAGTTAAGAAAAGCCATAAAGAGAATTAAAAGGAAATAATAGACGACAAAAGTAAACTGCTGTCTTGAATATACTTAAAGTCCTTAATACCTAGAACGCATATAAATTGATTTTTCAAAACACATAACTCCAACGGAAATAGGAACTAAGGACAAGAATGTCCAATTCATAAAAAAAAATACAAAAAGCTAAAAAAAAAAAAAAGTGAAAAAAAAGTAATTCAAGCTCACAAATAATTCAAGAAATGCAAATTATAACCAAAAAATATTAATCAAAGGGCAAAGATGCAAGGAACTTGCATTATCGAACACTGCCAAGTGTATGGCACCTGGACATTGCTTGTAAAAAAGTAGTGCTTGTAAAAAAGTTTCCGTAGTAAAGTGATTTGAACCAAGAACTTAAAAATTCTTTGACCAAGTAAATTCATTTCTAGGAATTTAGTTCAAAAAATCAGAAATAAAGACAAAATGTATGTAAAATGATATCACTGCAGGGTTACACAGGCAGTGAAAATGTTCAACTTAAATGTTCAATAACAGGCATGATAAACAGGCACTTCAATAAATTCTGGTATGGTTGTATGCTGGAAGTATCCAATTTTATCTGTTCACTAAATATTTAATGAATACCTCCTATGTGTCAAGGCAGTATTTGGAACTATTAACATTGACTTAAAATCAACAAAATGTTTTTAATGATTATAGTAATTACATGTTCAAAATATAATGTTAACTGAAAAATACAATATACATTTCTGTAAAGTTTTCATTTTTACCATAAGCATAGCAGGTGTATCACTGGATGAACTAAAATATCTTGCAATCAGAAGAAATGTATTTTTTAACTCAAGCTATGAAACACCACACCTACTGAAGTTCAATTTAGGGAGGAGGATGACAAATGCACACACACTGGAAAACAAACACGAAAAGGTTCCCTCTAAGGAAGAAAACGACAAGCAATGTTCCCTATTTCCCCCAAGTATGTATTACTTCTAAATCAGAAAACAACTGTTTTTCCTAAGGAATAATGAAGAATCTGTATAACACTTTGTAACATACAAGAAATTGGAGGACATTATGCTGAGTGAAATGAGTCAATTAAAAAAGGACAAATACTGTATGAGTGTACTACAGTAAAAAGTCAAGGAAAGATTTACACAAGGAAGGAAACTTTCTTTGTTGGTTACCAGGGATGGGGTGTGGGGAGGGAAAGAAAACTGTTAGCTACGTAAGAGACAAGTATTGATTCGGGTGAAGGGAAAGGCAATAAATATACCAAAAGTGAGTGACCAGCAAAGTAACACTAAGGAAAAGAAAGGCAGAGAGGTGGCACAAGAGGTACAGACAACAAAGGTAAATATTTCTACATATACAATACTCCACTATCAGTAATAACGAACTTAACCTATGGGTGGATTCATAGATAGACAGGCAAATGATCAGGTACGGGTAGGCAAAAGGGAATACATCCATGACCATATGTAAGTCTGGCAAATGAATATATCTGTAAGTGCTATAAGAATGTCCATGTATAGCAGCCAGGTGGACCATTGGGACTATGGCCCCTGGCTGTCCTTCAGGTCTGGGGTTGAGCCCACCCCTGTGGCGTCCAGCTGGGCAGACGGCGTATGGGCTAGGCATTTGCATTGGGTAGATACACTCCTTGGAGAGATCGGTCATGGGAGGATAGGGGGGCTGTGTATGTGTGAGGAGGCAGCTCGAGAGGTGGTAGGTGTGGGGAGGGACGTGAGGGGGAGGTGGCTGTCGTGGGGAGAGGAGTTGTTGCTTTGTGGGAGGTTGTGGTGAGTGTTGTGAGACAGGGTGTATGTGGGCTGTTGTATGGAAGGTGAATTTGCTCTGTGGACTTGTACCCAAATCACAGTGGAAACTGGAAAAAAAAAAAAAAAAAAGTCCATGTACATAATAGAGCTAATGGTGCAAAGTTATGATGATTTCTTAGCCTTGAGAAAGTATGTCACTGGGCATGGGCTTAGGACCATAGTCAAGGAGGACATCAAGCTCAACTGGCATAACATACTACATAAAAACATTGTTCTACATCCTACTTTGGTGGGTAGTGACTAGAGTCTTAAAAGCTTGTGAGCAAAGGGGCAAGGTTGTGGTCACTGCTTGGTCATAGCCAGCTACCCAGGAGGACCGAGTAGTTGAACCTGCGGGCTTGGGACCATAGTCGCAGGGGGGACATAAAGCTCAATTGGCACAACATACTATACAAAACATTGTTCCACCTCCTACTTTGGTGAGTAGTGACTGGGATCTTAAAAGCTAGCAAGCTGCCATCTAGATGCAACGATGGGTCTCTCCTCGTCTAGAGCAAAGAAGAATGAAGAAAACCAAAATTCATGGTAACAATTAGTCCTAGAGGCTGGTACACCATCCGATCTGCAGCCTATACAACTATGAGACCAGAAGAACTAGATGGTGCCTGGCTACCACTGTCATCCACTTGGAAGGGTATCTATGTAGGAGATCCTTGATAGAGAGGGAGAACAGTGTGGAACAAAACTCAAAATCATTTGGAGAAATAAAAAGAGTGGGGGGACCAGGTTTGCTGGTCTGATAGAGCCTGGTGGAACCACTGAGACTATGGCCCCTAGCTGCCCTTCAGGTCTGGAATTGAACCCACACCTGTGGTTTCCAGCCAAACAAAATACAGGCATATGAGTTGAACATTTACCTCAAGTAGATACACTCTTTGGTGAGAACAATCATGGGAGAAAGAAGGGCTGCTTATGCACAGGGAGACAGCTCAGGCGGCAGGAGTGTATGGAGGGATGGACACTGGGAAGAGGTAACTATGGGGAGGAAGTGGGAGGGGAGCTGTTGCATTGTGGTAAACTGTGGTCAATGACATGAGACAAAGTATATGTGAACTGCTGTATAGAAAGTGAATTTGCCCTGTAAATCTTCACCCAAATCACACACACACACACGCAAAGCTTGTGAGCAGCCATCTAAGATGCAACAATTGGTCTCTCCTTGCACAGAGCAAAGAAAAATAAAGAAAAGCAAACACTCATGGAAATAGTAGTCCAAAGGACTAATGGGCCATGAGAATTTTAGCCTTCATGAACCTGAGACTAGAAGAGCTGCCTACCACTGTCAGCAGCTCCAAAAAGGATCAAAATAGGAGATCCTAGATAGAGTGGGAGAAAAATGTGGGACAAAACTCAGAATCATAAAAAAGACCAGGCTTACTCTATCAGACTGGTGAAATCCCTGAGACTATGACCCCTAGTAGTCACCTTTTGGGCCTGGAATTGAACTCACTCCTGTGGCTTCCAGCTAAACAATAGGTCTACATAGTGAACCATTATACCAGGTAGGTATACGCCTTAGAAAAACCAATCATGGGAGATCCAAAGGGCAGTATGTGCACAGGGAGATAGCTCAGAGGGCAGGAATGCACAGGAAAGGACACAGGGAAAAGGTAACCACGGGCAGAAGTGGGAAGTTCATTATGAGGATTGCAATCAATGTCATGAAACAAAATGCCTATGAACTATTGAATGCCAAATGAATTTGCTCTGCAAACTTTCACCCAAATATCATACACACACACACAAACTGTTTTTAATGTTCTCCATTTCAAAGACAAGAGAGTCATTCTGAAATCCCCTCACCTCTGAGGTGGCACGAATGATCCCTGAGATGAGGCTGCACAGCTGGTTGCCCCGGGTCCTGAAGACAGACAGGTCTATCTTCAGCAGGTCTTTGTGCTGGTCAGAGGAATCCAGCTGCTGGTTGAGCTGCAGCACCTCCTCCTGCAGTGCATAGAGGCTCCGCAGGCGAATCTGGCCTTCCTCCTTCCGAAGCCGCTCCCGCTCCACTTGCTTCAGGCGCTGCTGCTCTGCCTCCCTCAGCTTCAGGTTCAGAATCTACAGAAAGGGCCATTAAGTTACCTCTTCCAAGGGGCTCCTGGGCTTGCTTCTTCTTTTTATATTCTTCAAGCTTTACATGGGCTACACATTTTCACAGACAGGCAGATGGACCCAGAGCAGGAAAAGGACTCCCCAAGGCAGTCGCACAGAGCCATGTGAGCCAGGTCCTCCTTGATGACTGTCAGAATCTCACTCCAGGCAAGTTACAAACAGGCACCAAACTGACACCCACTGTGATCCTCCCAGGCTGACCTTTGCTCTGTGTCGATGCTCAGCTTTTAGCTTCTCCTGGTGCCCCAGGACTTCTCTGGTACTGAATGAAAAACAAGAGGAATAGTCAGGGATGCTTCCTAAAATTGTTTTACTTCTAAATGGCTCCAGCCTTGTTTTACACTGGCCATCCTTTCAAGGTCGGTCATTAGGTAATACGCTTCTCTTTTTGGTACATAAGGACTCCGAGGAGCGTTGGTGGAGTAGCATCTAAGGCATTTGACTACTAACCAGAAGGCTGGTGATTCAAACCCACCAGCCACTCTCGGGAGGAAGGCTGGGCAATCTACTTCCATAGTGATACTGCCTCGGAAACCCAAGGAGGGGTCGCTATGGGTCAGATCCGACTCAACAGCAGTGCATTTGGTTTTGGTTTTATAAGGACTCCGAAGAAGTTCAACTCCTCTTTCAGAAAGAGTTTCAGTGGACCACATCAACATTCTCACTCACCTCTTCTCCATGACTTCCTGTAAGTCCTGGAATTCTTTATGTTGCTTCAATTCTTTCAGTTCATCAAACCGCTTTAGTTGTTCAGATGCCATCTCAGAGAGGGCTCGCACCTTTCTCTCCTGTTCCTCCTGCCATTGCCTCAGGCCCTCCTGAAAAGGATCAGCATGTGCTCTTGGGGGTACCTTGCTCCTTTACCTCTGTGAGTCACCCTCCCAGCAGTCCTTAACACCATGAGAAACACTCAAAGGCATGGAATCATCTACTCCTTTCTCAGAGCCTTTGCATGAGTCACCTTTCTCCTTTGGGTTTATCTTTAAAAACTCAGCTCTCTTGGGAAGCTTCTCCAATTTGCCCAATATGGTTTATATTCCTCTAGCTCAAGGTGGGAATGGATAGTCCTAATCATCAGAATCTGAGAATATATTTGCTTCACATGGTAAAAGGGACTTTGCATATGTGATTAAGAATTTCGAGATAGGAAGATTATCCTGAATTATCTGTGTGGGCCCAACACAATTACAAGGGTGGGTATTCCACTGTTATTAACAGAAACTCAGTTCCCTCTAAGTAATGACTCCTCTTTCCCTCTCTCTCTCATTCCTGGAAAACACATAAACGTTGGCCTCTTCATTTCTTATCTGTCCTTCTGACTTATGGCACTCAATATACTTAAAACACTATCTATTTTACTTATATTCTTGTTTACACCTTTTCTCTCCCCATAAGCTCCATGAAGGCATGGATTTGTCTACTTTATTCACTGCTTTATTTATAGCCCTTAGTACAGAATCTAGCACTTGGGTGTTCAAATAAAAAATAAATAAACCAATGAATGAGGGAAGATTCTAGAAGACTTTTACTTTATAAACTCTTGTACATTTTAAAATTTTTTTATTTTAAAAAGCATGTATTGTTTCTAATTAAAAAAAAACATAAAAGCCAAGTAAATTTACTTAAATGGGGCTATTCTATTCTCAAGAGCCTATTAAGGTCCCATCTTCTCAGTGTAACTTTATCTGATCTCACTCTGAATTCCTAGAGAACCATTACATATTAGCAACAACTACATGCCACCCTTATGTATATATCCTGCCTTCCCAGTTTGCTGTGAGCAGACTAACAGCAGAAAAGGTATTTAATACTGCTTTTAGAATTCTACCTCCTAATACAGTCTGTGCTCAACAAGTATCTAAAATGTCTTCTCTTCCATTTTTATTAAAATTTCCTCCTGTGAAGGAAACATCTGAATCTGGTGCAGTCCTTAGCATACGAGATTTCAAAATATGCTACTAACATAAGACCAATAAACCTTTTCATACTGAAGAAAATGTTCGAGGTCATCTACCTAGGCAAATTCAGCACAATACTCCTAGAGCCCATCATCTGAATCACTATTTTAGTACTTATCATAGTCTACTCCAGCTCCATGACAGCAGGAATTTTTGTCTGCTTTATTCACAATTGTGTCCTCACAGCCAAACACTGATGCCAACTTATAGCAAGCATCCAAACACTAAAAATCAAGTCCTGTGCTAAGCGCTTTATATACATGATCTCATTTCAACTTCACATATCATTTATCCCCAAATTCTGGAGGCATAAATGGAAGCCAGGAAAGCCTAAGTACTTTTCCCAAAGTCACACATAAAATAGAAGAGCTTGTATTGGAAACCAGATAGGACTTGAGTGTTCACTCTTAAACATATTACACTTGCTCTCTGACCGAACTGTGAGTTCCTAGTAGGTGAAGCAGAATGATTAGCATAAGGTAGGCTTTCATAAATGCTAGGGAACTGCATGAAAATATGGCTCTCCAGGGTTAGGCCTGCCTTACTTCATGGTTCACTTACTATTCCTTTCATTCTGTGCACTAGTTCATACATTCGAATGCAGCCTTCCACCTTGATCCCCCGGGAGGATGGAAGTAGCATAGACTCTGTGTGCTGGGATTCATGTTTGTCCTATATAGACAGAAGATGGAAAAAGAATTATGCTTTTAAGTGGTAAAGTTGTTATTATTCCTTCTAGACATGCCTACTTATGAACAACAACAAAACAATTTAGGTTAGAATCAATGGTTCTAATTGTTTTCCTTAGTAAACATGAATATTTGTTGCTTTGGATGGCTTTGATTTTTTTTTTGCTGTGTGCCTGCTTGTTTCGCTCTGGCCAGCCATGTATTTATCCCTTCTTCTAATAAGTGCCCATTTATCCTGGGGTGGTTTAGATGAAGCCAACTCCAACCCAAATCCCAATTCTTCCACCCTCCTGGCCTCAGGGGTAAGCATAAAACCCGCATGGCAATCCAAGAACTCTATCTCACTGTACCCAAAATCTAGTTCAGGAATGTAGCATATGACCCAGGCTAGGCTAGAGTTTATCCTTGAACTTTTCTGATGGCTTTCTGGGAAGGCTTTCTCTTCTTTTGGAGTTGCTACCACACAGTCTATCTGAGAAGTAAGACCAAGAAGAATTACACAGGATACTAAGAATAGGAATTTCTCCCTCTTGTTTTCATAAAGAAAACACTAGGTGACGCAGTAAGCAATGTCCCTACAAACAGGTACAACAAGAAGCAAAATTTTCCCCATTACAAAGTCATTGTTGTATGACATCTGTCACTTCAGTTTTGCAGCCACCATGTCTTTTGTCTTAAGATGACTGAAACCTTACCTTGGTTCCATCTGGTGTTGTGGGGGAGGCTGGTGTGAATGCAGGGTTTCTGGTAGGAGATTTGGGAACAAATGAGGATTGGTGTAGGGCTGAAGTAGATCCAGACAGTGATGACGCCTCAGAGGCGTCTCTTGAGTTCTCTTGTGAATAGGGTAAGACATGATCTACCACCCATCCGGAATAAGCAGATAGCTTAGGAAGAGACATACATTCTTCTAAAATATCCTACAAAGAAAAGGAAAGTTAAGCCCAATGTGTCTTACTGAAAGTCTAAGAAGGCCTAAGTAAATCCCAAAGACCAAAGGTAATCATATTAACAATGGACATGAAGAGAGACCCAAGATAATCATATTAACAATCAGAGATGAAGAGAAAGTATAGTTGTTCCCTGATAATGCTCCTGATCATCGTTCTTTCAAAGAATATCACACTCAATAACCCTGACCATAGAAAAAGGAACACCATACAAAGATTGTCATTGAAGTATATTTGAAAGCAATCTAAATAAACATTGGTATAGAACACTGGAAGAATTCTTCTTCCCACTTCCTTTCTATTTTATTCTATTTTACTTTTCCTGAGGGCTCCTACTTGTATTTCAGCTCCTTCCATAGTAGTCATGCCCTTTTTTTTGGCCTAAGCTCTAGTATGTCTACATTTCTCTCATGTTTGTAGAGAATACTAGAAGAATTTTAAAGTACATTTAAATAATCAGTCATTTTAAAAGATTGTGAATTCAATGTAATAGCATATTGAAGATTCAATTTTAAGTGACAAAAAGCAAAAGTAAACACAATAGTATTATATAAAGTAAAAATAAACATTACTGCATTAAAAAACCATAGAGGAACTATATCAGAAGTTATGCCTGAGTGAGGAGTGTTCTAATTTTCTGTATTTCCTAATTTTTTTTTGAAATAAACATGTTATAATTTTAAAAATGAAAATAATAACCATATAAAAAAAGAATAGTGGTTACTGATATAAAAGTCCATTTATGGCTTGAATAAAATGGGATTTATAATAAAAGTCTAAAACAAGTCCTAGATACTCTGTAATATCTGTGAGACAACTTATTCAACTGTACCAGTTAACTATTATCTCTATATGTTTGGTGTACAGTGCTTAAATATGGAGAAACTGTTATAGCGATTAAGAGCACTGAGCTCAAAACCATCCTTTCTAGGTTTGAATTCCACCTCTTCATTCCTCTTGAGTTACGCAGTCTCTCTGTGGTTCGGCTTCATCACTTCCAAAATGGGATGATAAAGAACCCACCGCATAGGTTTCTGGGAGGATTAAATAAGTAATACATATATTCATATACAGGACTCGTGTCTGATACACGGTAAGTCCTCAATAACTGCAAGCTATTATTTTATCTAGGTCAGTGGTTCTCAAGGGGGGCCAAATTTAGCCCCTAGAGGACATCTGGCAATGTCTACAGATATTTTTGGTTGTCACAACTGGGAACATCACTGGCATCAAGTAGATAAAGGCAAGGAATGCTGCTGCACATTCCTCAAAGCACGAGACAGCAGTCCCCTACAGCATAGAATTATCTGGCCCTGCCAAAAATGTCAACAGTGCCCTGGTTGAGAAATTCCAATCTAGATTATGAGTACACATGACATGGGTACACGTGTACAATAAACAGATATTCACACCCTGGCACACAACCTGGACATGGAAGCAAACATGCTGATATGCACACTGTACACAGTAATGAGACTAATTTTAAAAACATATTATTCAAAATAACGTCAGGACACTTTTTAGTTATTCCTTACACCAAAATAAATTCCAGGGACAGTTTCAAATGTAAAAAATGAAGCCATACATACAAAAAACACGATAAACAAAGAGAAAAATTCAACTAACTGGAAAAAAATATAAGCAATATGGATTGCAGATAAAGAACTGTTATCCCTAATATATAAAGAAATTTAAAAATTAGAGGGGGGACACAAACCAGTAGGCACACTGATTATGGAGAGGAATTTGGCAATAGTTAAAAAAACTACATACGTGTCTACCATTTCACCCAGCAATCTCACTTCTTAAATTTTATTTATACTGAAGATACATATCCCACAAAATAAAAATACACACACACAAGGTCATCATTGTAATACTGCTTATAAATGCAAAATATTGGAAACAGTCTCAATACCCATACACACTAAAACAGTTGAATTAACTGTGATATCTCTACATAATGAAATACTATGCAACTGGGGAGGGGGGTACGTATATGGAGTGATTTCCAAAATATATTAAGTGAAAAACAATAAGCACAGAAGAATTTCTATTTAGTGTACAAAACAAGGAAAATAAGTCAACATACATATTTGTTCATTTATGCAAAAAGAAACGCAGGAAAAATAGGCCAGAAACAATGAGAATGGCTACCTACAGTGAGTGGCAAGTGTCTGGGAAATTGTGAAAGGGGTGGAAGGAGTGACACTCCTCTCAGTGTATCTTCTTGTATAGTTCGATTTTGTAATCATTAGGTTCCACGCACTCAAAATCAACAAGAATGTGGAAAAAGGCTAGAAGGGAATATAAGCAAAATCAAACGGACCTAACTATATTTCAAATGAATAGAACAATGCATTGGCAGGAAGTGGGATGGAGGTGAAACTAATCTAAGTAACTTTTGAACACAATACTTCGACTATGACAATACTTTCCTCTCAGGCTAAAGAGGAAAAAATACCGTAAGCAAACACTGAACTGTCAGTAGATTTGTTCTTCACAATTATTCTAAAGTGTAAGATTTAGAAACTATTTTCTACGTATTCTAGGATTGAGTAAATAGATATATTGTGGATACAGAAGCCAAGTTTCTCACTGTCAGAGAAAGGAAAGGGTAGAATGAACCTCTGGTTTTAGATAAAAATTGAAGCTATCAATATGAACTCATGGTTTTTAATGTATCTAGAAATAGATAGAAAGTCGATTAAAACTCAGCAACCCACAGGACAGAGAACTGCCCCACGAGGTTTCTGAGGCCATAATCTTTACTGAAGCACACTGTCACATCTTTCTCCCACAGAGCACTGGTGAGTTTGAATCACTGACCTTTCGGTTATCAGTCAAGTGTTTAATCAATGCACCACCAAGGCTCCTTATATACACATACAATAGATGTGTGTACACACATACATATAGAAGTAGATCTAAGACTACATGTGTACACACACACAGGCATGTAAATACATACTAGCATTCTATCCACTGAGAGGACTCAGAAGCAATGACACCCCTATAGTAGTACTGGACACATCTAATGTACAGACCTTGGTTTCTTAATAACATTTTACACAAACAGACACCAAGAGTCCTTGCATAAGTGACAGGTTTCAGAGTTGGGGATGGGGAAATATAAGATAAGCTTGGAACTCTTGTTGTGCCAGAAAGTAAAAACATGTTCAAAGAAAGGTGAGGCCCTTTCCCTTGGCATGGAGGAGTCAGCAAAGCAGCTGAGGATGCAGGAAGGTAGGCAGGTGGATTGGTTGGAGGGTAGGTTGGTTGATTTCAGGGGGAAGCTGGTGAAAGAAACAACCAGCTGGGTAAGAGTTTGCTACAATTAACTAAATAAGTAAGCTAACTGAGCAAGTAAATAAATATACTGAGGTTAAAAGGGCCCAGACTCTCATTGTTAGTTATTTACAAATACAGATGTTGTTGTTACATGCTATCAAGTTGGTTCTCACTCATTGCAACCCTACCTACAATAGAACAAAGCACTGCCTTTTCCTGTACCACCCTCACAATCACTGCTATGTTTGAACCCACTGCTGTGGCTACTGTGTCACTCCATCTCATTGAGGGAATTCCCTTTTTTCACTGACCCTCTACTTTTCCAAGCATGGTACACTACTCTAAGAACAGGGCCCTCCCGGAAAATGTCCACAGTACATTAGCTTAAGTCTTGCTATCCTCACTTCTAAGGAGCATTCCAGCTGTACTGTTTCCAAGACAGATTTGTTCATACTTCTGGCAGTCCATGGAATAGCCAATATTATTCATCAACACCATAATTCAAAGGCATCAATTCTTCCTCGGTTTTCCTTATTCACTCTCCAGCTTTTGCATACAAAGGAGGCTACTGAAAATACCATAGCTTGGGTCAAGTGCACCTTAGTCCTCAAAGTGACATCTTTACTTTTCAAAACTTCTAAAAGTTTTCTGCAGCAGATTTTCCCAATGCAATACATCGTTTAATTTCTTTTTCTTTTTTTTT